GGGGGGGGGGGGGGGGCGGCTGGATAAAAGAGCAGGAAACCAAGAGGGTCGGAGTGGTTGGTACTAACGGTACCAGAGCTGAATGAAGAATGATTTATAGAAAGTTAGATTGCGAAACCGCCACATAAGATAAATCGTCGAATCGTCACATTCCGACAACGTATACACATACCTACTCACATGAAAACGGAAACATGTACTCGTTAAGGCATTTTTCCAGCGAACGATCCAAGCGCGTTACCTGAATTTAAAGAAAACAATAGAAACTCGTTATTGCCTAAGTCTACGTACAATTTGCTCTTTCGTATTCAGTTGGACTAAGGAAATTGGAAAATTCAATCTGAACTGATATGAAAAATTAAAATCCTCTACCGAGTGAAATTCTTTTCCTGTATGGACGCGGTGGCATTTTTTGGTGCTCGATATATCCCTGATCTCTCGTTGGGTGGAACCTCGAGGAAAGTTAAGAAACCGGGATACGTGAAATACTTAATAAAAAATATTAACAATGAAAACTCATTTTGTCTACACAACCGGGATAGGACTTATACACAGTGTTAAATGTAAATGAATGTCACGGTATAAGAGAGAAAAAAAAAATCAACGTTGCAGTAGCATGCTACGCTATCGTATATCCCTACTGTAACTACTTTCTACGACGTAGCGATTATTCAATAATATAACAGGAACATGTCTGTGAACATGACTTTTGCGAATTTGGGTTATCTCGTGTTATTACCCAAGTGTGTTCCCCTATTCATTTGTTTCAGATGACTCTCGACGCATTCTTGTACATAATATTTTACTCTTGTAAATAAATTATCCACACGGTATATTAGTCGCTATCTCATTACCTGAAGCATTCCCTTGTTATTTTTTTTTTTCTTTTGAAAATAATTTAAACCGATCATAACGTAGAAAAGTATAAATTCGTATTTTTACATACCGGCGTCAAATTTAAGAATCGTCAGGACTTTAACATGTAATTTCAATATATCTGTATATATATATTTAATTTACATCTTTTCCTAATTTACAGTAATTACAGCGATGAAACTTTACCTTCCAAAGACTGCAATTAGGTTAAATATTAAACTCGAAATACGTAAACGTGCATATCCCCGTACTATATACATACATCAAGAATGCTACAGTCAAATATTAATGAAAGCCTCTTAAAGCATACGGGTGAACTATATTGTATTTAAAGTTGCCGTTAATTAATTTGACGTCTGCAAAAATTCTCTACTTGTACTAATGACGTCAGGAAGTTTTTTCCTTCATACTTTTGCATCATTTTAGTTACGCGGCAACCATACCAATAATTAATACTTGTAAAAAAAAACTGCGCTAAAAATAATTCGAAGCGCAAATTTTCACTAGTAGTAACTGTGAAAATTTGAAAGTGTTACGGTCAGATATTAATGAAAGCCTCTTAAAGCATACGGGTGAACTACATTGTATTTAAAGTTGCCGTTAATTAATTTGACGTCTGCAAAAATTCTCTACTTGTACCAATGACGTCAGAAAGTTTTTTCCTTCATACTTTTGCATCATTTTAGTTAAACGGCAACCATACCAATATTTAATACTTGTAAAAAAAAACTGCGCTAAAAATAATTCGAAACGCAAATTTTCACTAGTAGTAACTGCAGCTGGATGACAACGTTAAATATTCTTTAATGCATCTAATATACCGTATAATCATATTACTTTGAATTGATCCTATCGGAGAGACTGCAGTTTGTATTTCCCATATGAACGAAGTTAATGCAATACGCATGTCTATAACTATTGGTGAGCATCGATCGCTGCAACCAAATGTAATATATATGTATATATACCAAGCATACGTACCCGATGCACGTGAAATGCAATGTGCCAGTGTTTCGCCATTTCTCTCATGGACAACAGAAACGGTGTACAGTCGCGAATTTTCCTCGAAATTTTCGAAAATTTCAAATCTGCAAAAATTTACCAGTAACTGAAATGAAATTACCACTAACTTAAACGAAAGAGGGATGAGGGGTTAAAATAATAAAAAAAATTTTATTTCAACTTTGCCTCTTTCTCAAAATTGATATGCAACTCCAACGCGAGCAGCTACAATATACGGTGAAAAATTCGCGAGCAGCGTTAGTTACGTTACTGATAAAGAAAGAACTATTTTTCAGGATTATACGATTACACTCTTGAGGTGGTGAGTGGTGGGTCTGATTAGCGAAGGCGAATGGTTGCATTCTAATCCTACGTTAATTTCGTTTTACCGTCCGTGACGTCTAATTAGCAATGTTCACTCGACGCACTTGAGTCTCGCTAGTAATTCAGTGCGGAAAACAATTCAAGGCCGCATTGCAGAAATATACGTTAACCAATAGACCAGCCAGCCTGGTGCGACTTAATGAGATAATACGAGGAGCGAGTATCATTAGAGGCTCTTTTTTACAAGGAAAGATTTCTGAGGGAATACGTGGCTGAATTTTCTGCGTACAGAAAAAAAAAACAGGATAATTTGGGCTGCCTGTAAAATAAAAGGCAAAATGAAAAAAAATACACCGATACCCATACGGAGGCTGAGTAACGAGTCTCCATAAGTATCGAAAAAGCATAAAGACAATATCGGTTGTCCTCTCGCATTAATAATAGCACTTTACGTTCGATTTTATTTTTTTTTTTCGTCTAGCGTCATTAAGGGCGTTATTAAAATTCTTACGTTTACGATTTTCTGGGAAATTTAGAATTATGGTATTTTATACACGGAGGGGAAGTCACTTGTGTTTTGAGGAGTCACGTGTGTTCGTATGTCGGATATATCAACTTGTCGGGTAGTAAAGCTTGGTTTGTGCTACTGGGCGGTCAGTGAGTGTGGTCAGTTCAGTGTCGGCGGGTTCGGAGCTGGTCAACGATATCAGGTAACTAATTGGAAATTTATAAAATTCTGTGTTTAATTGGTTTAGGTCTGTTATAGGGAAAGTGGGGGAGGGTTGTTATTTATTTTGAAAAAATTCTAATTTTAATGGTGGCATTGGGAATCAAAATTACACGTGGTGATATGCATCTTCTATGAATTTATTATATCGTTTATAACACGGTCCCTTTCTGTTTTCTTATCACTCAATAACGTCATAGCAATCCGATTGCAGATTTGGGTAAAACTGAATTCGAACAGAGTGGTCGTTTTGATGGATTTTATAAAGAAATGAAAAAAGTGAAAAATGGGTTCGAGTACCGATAAGAGTAAAATCGAAATGTAAAATGTACGTTAATTATTTTACCGGAGAATAATTATTGTTGAAAAAAGAAATTTAAGGGAAACTTACATTTTTGACGTGTTAAGTTAAATTTTGTACTTTTAACGTGCATACGGTTATGTTCAAACGCATTGACCGGTATGGCAGATTTTTCAATTCATTTTTAATACATACTTTTCCCATTGACTTTTTCTTTTCGAAAAGTCATAAACCTCACACAGCGCTCTTTCGTCTTTCTCCTGGTTTCACGATGGCTATTGTGAAACTGTCTGAACGACAATATATAGAGCAGTCCACGAAAAGCTTTAACACGTAATCTTTTTATCGCGAGACTGCCGTATGCGGTTCTGATATTGCCTGGGAAAAAGAAAGGGGGGAAGGAGCCTTAATGGCATAAAAAGAAAAAGTATATTAAATGTGATTCGGTGTGCACGGGGTTAGGTGATGGGTTGTACATATTCGCCGTATACCAAATGAGAATCCTTACAGCGATGCATCCATTTCCGAAATGCGACGTGCAATCTCTCGCGGATGCTTCTCATCCCTGGACCCATCCTGCACCCTGTGCTCTGAGAAACATGGGAAAAGCCGTTTAATCCTCTGGCAATGCACTTCCTATTCCAGGACTTGCGCAACACTTATATTGATCGAGAATGGTTGATGCACAAGTGTGGCATATAACGGTATATAAATATAAACGATGTTTATCTGGGCCAACACTGGCCCGTACGGATACGTAGAAAAAGGCCACCGGTATATACGTACATCGGAATCGATTGTCCCAAATGTAAATAGGAAGAGATCGACGGGTTAAATCTATCTCGATTACATATTTAATGCCAAGCTGTATACAGCTGCGTTTGTACTTGGCACTTTGATAGAGAAGATATATCGACGATTTGAAAAAGTGTGAACGAGGGAAAAAAGTTTTGATGAAATATTCAAATTATTTTTTTTTTCAACCTAAAAACAGCAAAGACGCTCGTTTCTTCGAGTTTTATTTTTAATATAATTTTTCGAATTTTCGATTTCGAAGTACTCTTCGTACTTGTATGATTGATCTACGTCTTATGGGATACCAGTGGGTTTTAATCTGTATTGATAGTCTAAGGGATAAAAATTCAATTCCAAGTTTTTTTTTTTTTAGCGATTCCTGTATATATCGCGAGTTGAATTTCTTTGTCTCTCTGTCCACCGACTTGACGTAGACAGAAATGCCGGGTTGGTGACCAAGTGAAAAATGAGGGTTATGGATGAAACCCACTAACTGGGGAACAGCCGTAGTGATGAGATCCTGGTGAAATGTCAAGAAGTTGTTCCATGACTGAAGGGGAACTTCTATACGTTTGAGGTATAAAATTGTGAGAGTGGATTGATAAATTTGACGGAAAGCGCAGAGGTGGGTTTGGCGTGAGAAATTTAGAAATGAAAAAAAAAAAATTATTTTTTTTTTCGTACATAAAATTTATCCTTATATATTAAAAAGCTAAAAGTAGACAGTGCTATCGTTTAATATCAAAATTTACCAATTTGCCTCTTTGATTGTTCAATACAAAAAGAAGACACGCGAATATAGAGAACCTCAATGCAAATTCTCAAATAATTAATTTCCTATGGTACAGTCTAATACCTTTGAGTTTACCATGCTGTACACTGAAAATTCTTTAACTCACGTGACACCAGACATATTACCTTAAGGTTACTGAATAGATTACAAAATTTCATAGTTTAACCCAATTTCTCATTAATCCTAAACCCGCAGCTCCGCCTTTACCAATATTGACCTTAAAGACTGTCCGTACGATTTCACGAGTTAATCGTCAATATTATAACGTCAAATCTTACTGCAATAATCTGTCCTTACGACGCGAATAAGTTTCCATAAATGCATGGAAATCTTGATCGAAATTCAATTCGGAGGGTCAGACGTAAATTATTATTTATCCAGGACAATTTCGCGTCGGACGAAACAGACAAGAAAATGTTCACCAGTCATACAATTCGTAAAGCAAGACAGAAAACTATTGTCACTGTGAAATAGATGTGAAATCATAAAAATTGTTTGAGGGAAGAAACTTTTTTTATTTTTTTTTATTTTTTTTACAAAAAATATAATTTTTCAAGTCTTCTTATAAAATGCCATAGACGAACAATCACGTCTCAAAATATTTGTCATTTCATGTATGCTCAAGTGTATGAAAGAAAACAAGACCAAGGCTAAAGTTGAGCATCTGTTAAAATAATCGATACCAAGTATAACGTATGGGCAATAGAATTTTATTAGTCGGTTTATCAGAGTCATGGAAGTACTTCGATTCTTTTGCTTCCTCGTAGTTCTATGTCGAATCGGACATTCTTCGGCATCTTACTATCTACTGGGAAGCCTGATAGAAGACGTACTCTCGTCGGATTTCGAGAAAGATAGCTCCGAGGAAGACACCGTAGCCGTGAAGGGCGAAGACAAAGAAGATGCGGAGCGGTGGTTGAGCCACTATTGTGATTACTTGTACGACTTCCTGGGTATTGCCTTGCTTCAGGAACTCACTGAAGAGCTTGCGGACACACCGAGTGATTTTGGTGTCGAACCAGGTGCGTTGGATTTTCTGGTTCGCGTAGAGAAAATTGAATCCATAGTCGGGAACAAGATAGTCGTATGTACATACAAGGCAGGATAGTTTTAAACTGGACGTGAAATAAATGTGATTTCCAAGTATTAGAAAAAATAAGTCAAATTAATTGAAAATTTTTTTTCTGTGGGTAACCAAATTTGACACTTGGTATCATACGTAGTAAACGTTGATAACTTTAGTTTGACCATTTTTTTCCCTTTTTCCCCCTTGAACACATGCCGAGTGCCTTTCTCGTGTCGTAAATAAAATGTGACGTGGGGAAAATCCTCTGTAATTTTCTTACGACTTTAACCAAGGGTCGCTGTCGTATTAAATACATGATTTATCATTAATTACAGAAACCCAGGTGGAAAAACCTCATATAACTTATAATGATTCTCTGCCGATACCGGCTGCCGTGTATAACGATATACTTGAAACAACGTTGAATTCAGGTAAAAATTATTTTTTTTATATTTTTAACATCCACCTACGTATCTATGCTTTTCAAGTTGGTCGTAATGGGGGATTTTTGTACCATGTTAATATTTTAACTCAGCTTTTACATGCAGTTCGTTACTATTTTTGTCTCTAATCTGTATCTGGTATTATCGATAATTACAAGGCTCGGCGATCGATTACGAAATTATGGGATTACGTGTAATGGCGATTTCCAGCGTGATATTACGTTCGGGTGGTGTAGGATATATGACAGCAGCTGGCTAATTCCATGAAATAACGTAATGTGGAAACCAATTAAATCGTTTATGTATATAATTCAAGGATTGACCGTTCACGCAATTCAATCGATGAATAATCTATAATATAGTTTGGCACCAAATTTTTCGCGAAAAGAAATGGTTGTACAATTTCGACAAAAAAATTTATAAATTTTCCAAAATTTTTGTTCAATTCTAAATAGCATCGTAACCAATATCTTCTTTTATGGTAGAATATGTATTTATCAATAAATTATGGTTATCGATATTCTCTGTACAACATATCTTTTTTATCCATTTTTTTTTTCTTGTAGCACTTACGTACGTTGTACGTTAAATATTTTCTTTTCTTTTTTTATTGTCCATAGGACCAAGTACAGCCGATCTGCCAGCAGAGCCTCCGTCGTCGTCAGTGAATAAACCACAGTTCATCACGAGTTCATTAATTCCGTCAGTCTTACCTCCAGGTCAGGTGTTACCGGTAAATCAGACCACAGAAGATTCATTAACGATTGCGTTAGCCAGTGATCTGGTGGATGATACTAATTGAAAGAAAAATAGACGAGGATCCCATAAGTAAGTGTTAGCTGTCTACAGTGACGTATCGTGAGGGGTATAAAAGCATAAAAAGAAAATTTGATAAGAATCAATAAAATGATTATTTTAATATAGAATTCAGATTAATTACAATAATAAGGACGAGCAACGATGTTGGCCTACATATCTAAACCGTACGTACCTTGCATTGGTAATCGGATGATTAATATTTAATGTGAATATGTTAAATGAATGGAAACAAATGGAACTAGAAAATTATGTAATTAAAATATCATAATTAATTCACTTGCAATTACATAGTATCAGGGGTTCCACAATTTTCATCGAATACACGATTTAATTGAAATCATCTCCCGTAACGCTGCTCTGGACCAATTAACGATTTTCATTCTATCCACGAATCCCAATGACATGACCATTATCCTTGCGTAAGTTCAAGACTACAATTTTTCGATAAAAATTAAAATTAAAAAATTATCGAAATATTGGTATTTCGAAAGTATTGTTTATCCAATTCGTTGCTCTGTTAATTTTCATATGAATAATTTATTTTTCTCATAGTCAATAATATCCACTGACGTTTGATAAGGTTTTTCAATCGATATGCGAATAACGATACATGCAAGTAATAAAATTTATTTCAAATTTGATACTTGGTATTGTATTATCTATGGAAATTACCTACTGACAATAACCGTATTTACGAGTGCTACTAAAATATTATTGGACGTATTCCAATCTACCTATACAGAGTGTATCAGCAAAGATGCACGTTTATTGCTCATTGAATTAGGTTTTTTTTTATACAATATGTTGAGACCTTGATCATCGGTGCTTTCGAGCCAAAACCGTTATATGCAGCTAGCGCCTTCGAGTCCTTCGGCCGCAGAAACAGTTTTGTTAGATTCGAAAATATTCCGCTAGTGTCGGAAAGCGTAAGGCTGCTAAGATTATTAACGCTGCAAAGGCTGCAGCCAGAGGTGCCTAATGGCCTCGAGCAAAAAGCACTCCAAATCCTGGAGACTCCCGTAGACTCCAAAATCCGTGACGGGGAGCGCGCAAAATTCAAATCTAAATGGAATCCAAATAATAAATACAATTCACATATTACTTGGCACTCTCAAAATAATTATCTTAATTTAGCGCAATTAGCACAACGCGATGAAATACGAAACGACCATAACGATAATTTATCGTTGAAATATTTTGCCGCCGATTATTATATAATTATTCTCAGCGAACGTACAAAATCCCGAAAGGCTCAAAAGAGCCAATACACACACAGCACTTATCGAACATAAAACCTGGCAAGCTTTCGGTACGAGCGAAGCATCCATGTTGCACACATGAGAAGGAATCACGTAGACTCGTACTAGAGTAAATACACGAAATACGAAGAGAACCGGTTCACCATTGAGTTCATGAAAACTGGGCAAGCAGCCAGTTTTTATCGGGGCTCCGCCTAAGCTCGGAACAAAAGACATTCTTTGAAAAACGCTTCACGTGTGAAGAGAAAAAAAAGAGAAACGTGGGAGGCAAAATCTAGAATAGCTATTAGCCAGAATGGAAGTCAACGGTATCAGCCTTCATAGGGAAGCATCGTATCCTGAAAGAACAATAGACACGATCATTTCTTTAGCCCATCTTATACCTAAAAGCTGTTTCGGATCGACCATAAATCTTTCACCAAGTAACATACACAGAATCCGCCGCGAGAATCCCCGAAGAGTTTAAGGAAAAAAAAATTTCAAAACTGATGAAGCTTATATATCGGTCGAAGGGATCCTGATAGGTGTCGAGAGATCGGTTGATCTTGCATATCCTGTATACCGTGTAGTAACCAAGTTACAAGTTCTTGTCATGCTCACTTTGGACTCTGTGTTCACGAGACAGAAACGATCCGTCAATCAGGGTTCATAATTATCGTAAGCTATCTTGCCATCGTCCCATTCTAATAAGTATTGATTGCTTTCTAACCTGAAACCTGCATGGGAGAAGATCGTCTTACGTAGCACCGAAGCTTCGGTCCCCGGTGACCATGCCGGGTCAGGCTGATCGTCTCTACCCCTTAAGTAAGATAAATGATCTCCTAATGCCTCTATTTCGCTCTGCCTCGAAGCAACGCGATATAGTCGCACGAAGTTGTTTTCAGTAAAATTGGATATATATACAGGTAAACGATAAAATAGAAAATCAGGATTAGATATTCCGACTAGTATATAAATGAAACCGATGACGATGATCGATCCGAAAGAAAAAGGAATGACGAATAAAAATAATAAAAATTTCATGCACCGTGCCTCTCCATTTATTCTCCATAATCACATTAAAACTGTAGACGCTGCACGGACACGTGCTGCGGTTGCAGTGATACTGCGCGAGTTAAGCGGGCACTTACGAAGAAGCCTATTTTGTTCCCTGTTCCCCAAAACCAACAGCATAGAGTATTAATTAGTGCAGTGTGCTCGAAATTTACAACATGTTTAAAGGGTACTTATAGTGTCGCACGTAGAAAGCACCAGATGTACGTTGCCACAGCGTAATCGTGTACCTTGCCAGAGAAGCCAACCCACGTACGATAGCTTGTATATAGGTAGGACGATATTGCCCATGTAGTTTATTAATTTAACCATCTTATATTTTTTAATCAATCGAATAAATATACCTCGCTCTTAAAGAGAATACCAACTGGTACATAGATTTTAAATAAAATTTAACACTGACTCTCGTACTTACCGCTGCTTGTAAAATCCTTTAAGGCACTCTCTCGAACGAGATGGCAAATTTATTCACCTCCTAGCTATCTCACATGAGACAGCAATAGGTACGTATATATCCGAATGCACATTACGTAGGCAGACGCAGGACTTGCAAATTGTTCTGCCTGGTTTTACGTCGCTTTGGTCTGTAACGGGCTAAGCTCTGGATCCACGGGCACCACGCGAACTCCTCTACAGCGAAGTGGTGCTGCTTCCGTGGCGTCCAAAGAAAGACCGATAGGTGTTGAGTCGGTGCAAAATGTAGTGTAAGCTTTAATACGTGACATATGGACAAGTAGGTAAGTTTCAATGACGTCATATGACTAAATTCTACGGGGTATTAAGGAACGTATTTTTTTTTCAGTCCTCGAGTGACGGGACTGAATCCAAGGCAAATAGGATCAAGAAGGGGAAAAGGGGAGAGGGACGACTTGTGAAGAGAGAGAAAAAAAATAAAGATACCTAGGTACACTTCGGTAGCAAGGAAAGGGGTTAAACCCATCGCTCCAGGGTGTAAGTATAAAGTCAAACGTTACGCGAAGCGCAAGTTAACGATGTCCCACTAACTCTTAAGGGATCTTCGAGTATCGTCCAATTTGCCAGCTACGGTTTTATTTTTAAGCTTTACCTTCGCAAGGCACGACCAAGAGTCCCTGATGAAAAGTTCAATCAAAGTATGGGTGCTTTCGAGCAACTGAGAAACTGACTCTACCCGTTTCTGTAGACGCTTCACGTTTTGCACTGAGTGAAAAAAGAAAGTGGGACACGACGAATGAGGGAAAGCAGTATGACAGATTTTTGACGAGTCGCTTAGTATATTTTTTTACACGTTCAAAACTGCCTGGGAGATATTGTCGTTTGCACGTGTTGAATCGAATATCCGATTTCAGTATAGGACGTCGAACGTGTGCGAGATAATGAGACCCTCGGGTCGTCAGGCGGATTCTGTTGGGATTTGCTTTTAACAGGGTATGTGCGTCGTGTCATCCAAGCATATGGGATTTAAGCATATACCTGTATGCCTGTATCCCCGTGTACGCATACTTACGTCGATTATCCGACATGGTACCAAGAAGTGACGATGAAAACGATCATTGAAGGAAATTCAAAGAAGTTCCAATATTACAAATTTTTGAAATCACTGCAAATATAGTATTTGATAACCATTAATTTTTTTCGTATGCTGTTTTTTATGGAAATACCTATTTTTAGCCCTTTCATGTTTTTCTATACTTGTTAGCTAAAAATCCACGTGGCACTGTCAGCGGTAGATACGAAAAATGATCGATTAAACAGTAAACAAAATTTGAATAAAGATACAAACTTGTGACGAGCGATCATCCCTTAGAAAATTATCAAAGCTGCTAGTAATTTTGACCTAACAGCAAACGTCGAGGACAGCATAAATTAAAGTATCTCGTTTACATTACTCCGATTCGACCCTGCATCATATATATATTGTGACGTGATTTTTCGAATCACGAACCCAAGGCGGCACCGGTTACCGATACAGATAACGTTCTCGGTTTCGGATTCCCTTCGGGTCGCCACCCTGAGGCACCGACCGAGGTGCCTCGGGCTGGCTCGTGCTCCCGTGCTATCTGTTGATAGTTTTTCTTGCCGTGTTTCGCTACGGTATAGCAAGTTCTCGATTCGTACGGTTCTCGCGTTGTTCTCGCGATATCCAGGAATTCTATGAATTCCTGTGAGTGTTACGGTGGTGTAGTGCTGTGTCTTAGTGCAGTGCTCACCAGTGTCCTTTGGATACAGTTCTCGGCCTCCATGGATTAGCTGCACCAGCTCCGGTGAGGATTCCCAATTTATTAATTGGTGAAGGGATCTCGGTACACAATTAAGACTCGTTCTGATACGTACTCGGTTCGTCGCTCTCTGTCTCTCGCCCTATTTGCCGGACTCTTACTCCGACCCTCTCTACCTCAAACCTAGCAGCTTGAGCGGCCGTGCATTTCCGTAACCGTCCGCTCCCGTTCGTGTATCCAGTTGCGTTTGCTGATTTTACGCGACCCCAAAGATCAGCACCTACGGTTGCGTTTCTCGATTTTACGCGTCCCCAAAAATCGACAGGATCCGTTAAGCTACCGCCTCGTCCGATAGGTTCCGTCAGAACTCTCGTTCTTGGTGGAGTTGGGCCTGTTCCACCCCAACTCCCAGTTTATACCGGCTCGTCAGTTCCCGGTGAAAAAAGAATTGGCTGGCGCCCGCCTGGCTTGCGGATGCACGAACGACGGGTGGACGGCCGAAGGTAACGTAGGTTGGTTCTCGAAGATAGTTGTTCTCGTATGTTTTGCTATGGGTGTCGAGTCAAGGAAAAGAATTACGTTACAATATATACACGTGTGTATTTCAGTCTATGTAATTTCCCTCATCTAACCACTCCGAACGAAACGACCAATCGTATGGCCAGGAGGTAGAACAAAGGGGTAGTTAAAAAATCAAAGAGAAATAAAATCAAAGTAAAAAAAAATTACGCTAAAATAGAAAAGTGGCAAACGGATAATTAATGACGTAGACAAGTGACCACTAATCTGCGATCGTGTAGTTGCTGGGGATTTTTGTGGTCGTTCGAGAAACAGGATAACTGTATATGTCCACTGTATACAGAAAGGGTGGAGGGGGTGGTACGAAAGGGGGGTGGTCGGGCATTACCGCCATACACAATATTGCATGATATCGTGCCGTATGCTGTCCACCTGCATACGTACGATGTGTTCTGTGTCCACTGTTGAAAACTCTGCCCATATCACATACGTATTACGGTAACGAGCAACATTCCGTATTAACCCGTGAAAACGCGCACGAGCCAAAACGCGGACGGTTTTGCGTCAACTGGTGCACGTATTAAAGCAGGTATAACAATCTGCTGTACATTTGCGTTACACAGGGTGAATCTGAATACTGGAATCTAGATATAGGTATTGATACAAATATAGAAAAAAAAAAATAATGGAAAAAAATATAATATGATTTAACGAGGATTCATCTCCTGTAAGATTATTTTTGTGTATATTCACTTGGGAATAAAAAATTCTATAGCCTATCCAAGTCGCGAGGATCACCCTGTATAGAGCGATTTGGTAATATTGTATCGGCCGAAGTTAGTCCGACAGACTTCCTTCATTCGCATAATCCATTTTCATATCTAACTCCAAATCCCCTTGGCAAGATCGTGGAGACTATCGGCATTCCAGCAATGAAATATAGATGAGATAGGATATACAAGAAAGTTCCTCCCTGGACCTTCGCCACGTTCACTCGTTATCATCCCGAAACACCGTGACGTCCAGGAGTTGAACTTTTAACGTACACGAGGATCCGCGGTGAAAAGTTTAAAAAAAAAAAAAACTTTGGTTTCTATTCCCCGTAGGTTTTTCAGTGAAATTCAAGAGTGACGCTTTTCGCCGAAATATTTCGTTTCTTTTATAAACGTATACGGGCACTGCCTATCTGAGCATTATGGCTACGACTATAGACTCTGACTGCGCGTGAAACAGTTTATATCCCAATCAATTACGTTACGTGGGTCCAGGCATGCACGACACCACTAAATTTAACTCGGGTATCAACTCGACCTGATATCTCCATTGCGAACGATTCCCGCATTCCCCAGCACGATGACGCTCGTTTAACAATACCAGGTAAGAAATGACAGTGGGATTACTTGAGAGCTGGACAATGCGACCCGGAACAATAGTGACTATACCCAAGACTTCATTCGTTTACAGGATACGGCACTCAGGGATATTATTTTTCTCTGTACCACTCCGTCTTCCTAACGTAATGCCTTTTAACGGTGTTCGTAAACGCGATAATAAAGAGACAAAAAAATGTATCGGGATACACGTGGAAAGTAAGGAAAATATTAGACCGATTATCGACGTTCATTGCTCGTGGGAAATTTAGTCGAACACGAGGTTATATATATAATATGAAGAATTGGTAAAAAATTTATTATAAAATAATTCTCATCGAGGTCCTTGAATTACGTGTACAGTTTATCCGAAGGAACCTGTCGTACCGTGGAAAAAGTCTTCTTATCCGAATTTACGCACTGAGAAACTGAGAGCTCAATATTAGGATACGGCGAACGTTAACGTAAGGTTTACGTGTACAGTAAAAGCGGCGAGAGCCTCGCCTAGCGTAAAGTTCATTTGAGTCAGGACATCAGACACGAGACCCCTTGCGTTCCGCCCAAGTATAATTCGATGAAGTTAGCACTGACAAGCAGCCACGGAATCAAAGCCCCCACAGGCATATTCCGTGCACGCATCGTATTTGTGATTGACGAGAAATTTTACGCGTCGGGGAGCTCGCAAAGTAAGTTCCCGCGCCACGAGGAACCTCGGAAACGAAATCGTCCACGTGGACTTTGGTATTTCGAGCGGAAACGAACGAGTTCCGTGGTAACAATAAGAACGGAAAGAAGAAAAGTTTAAGAAATAATGTTATTTAAGTAAATATTCATACATTCGAAAGAACTTTGAAACGAATCGGTGCCTCGCTAAAATATTATTAGTCAGCTGCCACGCGATGCTCACGGTATACGCTAAATACTAATGGCTCGTATAAAGTGATTATCACGTTCGTTCGGATAATTGCCATGTTGCGCAAGCAGACAGCTCGTCGATTAACGTAACGTAATGCGACGGTATAGGAAAAGGCAATTTAAATATTGCAACGGGTGCGTTCGGCTGAACTGTGCATTGGCGAGAAGCCTGTGCAGCAGTTTGGAAAAAATCATCACCAATCGTATAAATATATATATATATATATACTGCAATCTATAATTCTGCAATCACTCAAAATTACTGCACGATGCTTTTTTCATTCACCGAGCGAATACGTTGGGACGCCAAAAGGAAATCCAGATGGCTGTTAATCTCTCAGTGCATTCTGGCTTAACTGTATACGAGTACAATGAATGTAATATATGTCAATAAGAAACTTGCTGATCGAACTGTACGTGTCAGCTGGTTGTCCTGCACTATCCTGGTGGGACGCGCCGCGTATGAATCGGCAGTATCGGTCGGAGTTGTTATCAGTAGGCAAGGAAGCAGCATGATCTGAAATGCGGAAGGTCAATTGTTGTGGAAAAAAAGAAGACTATCGTATCGTAATAAAAGTTTTTCCCAGCCCGACGGGATGTGGCAGAACTGAAAACAAAAAGCTCGCGACATATCCGAATCGAATTCGTATCGGTATTGACGTAACGATACTCGCGAGATTATATGAGCTTCGAGTGACTGAACTCGTGGAAATTAACGGGACGGAAAATTATTTAACAAGCACATTGTAAGTACGGGCAACATTTATTATTATTATCCTTCAGGACTCTCTGGAAGTTTTCTCCTTAATTTCAATTATCCATCGTGTTCTCCCTTGGGCAGCTGTCTCTTAATTTCTTTTTTTCATACCGCTTTAATTACAGACTGAAATCGCGGCATTTTCTAAAGTTCCTAGCGCTGCGTTAGCGCTGTTGCGCAATTATTCATTTTCAATCAACTCGCTTAAACCTGTAACATTGACTGGTGAACGCATCGCCTTGAACGATCAGATAATATCTTTTTTATTGCACGATAGCAACCTTATCGGAAATTTCAAGATCGCAGATATTGATTGAAGGGTGATTGTTTTATGGAAAATAATAAATACTGACGTTAGAAACATATTGTGCGTTGTTGAAGAATATGCTGGTTCATATTGGAATTCGCACTGTTCGTATGACTATTATTATTATTCTTTACCATATTCATGTGAGCTGTGACGAGATACACTTTCACGTGCATATATTATGTAGGCGTAATACGTAATTATAGATATGTATATATATGTATATGCTGAAGATGCTAGGTGCGGTTTCAAGATTAACTAGTTTTTTTTTTTTTACGATTGAAAGATCATCTCCCGTTTATATCATGAATCAAAATGCATGTTCTGTCCTTTTTTATTTAACTATAGCGCGCCATATTGACGGGTATCAATTGTATTTAGTAAGTTGGTCGTCAAAAAATAATAATCTTGTTTCTATAGAGTTTGTATAACGGGCGACTCGATTGGGGTAGTCGTCGTAGATATAGTACTTAAATGCTATGATTAATTTTTGCTCAATCACCCGGTACTATTGTTTTAGCTGAATAATGTGAGTGATTTAAATTAATACGCATAGATTATTTAGGGAACAATAAGATTTACTAGTATAATACTGGAGAATCTTACATTGCACCGCGTATCCAGTCTTGAAGTACAGTATAAATAGATTAATCCTTGAACATTATTATGTCTTATGGAAATATATAATACAGACATGTATTAGTTGACGTACGTAGTGACAGTGGGAGTCAGGAATTTTCACAGAGAATAGAATTGCAGTTGTTTCGAATATCTACTCGTTGGGGTTTTACATAGATGCCACAAAATTATAGCCATTACATTTGATGATGCTACACCGCTCATTGCGATCATTGGATTCATTTAGTTAGGCGAAGAGAATCAATCTGGCAAGCGGAAAACGAATTAGCACTATGGATACAAATCATATTCTGCACACCATTTCCGAGCGAAATTTCAATTAACTTCTACAGTATATACACGAGCTGCATATTCCCAGAGTTAAGTGAATACTATTTTGGGGAAATTAATTCACTGCGAGTACGTGCGTCAAGATTGCATCGGACGCAGTATCTAAAAATAATACGACAGTAGATACACTATCCCATTACAAATTATTCCATGAGGGTAATTGATATTTTGATACTTCGATATGCGGCACATCTAATAAGCGTGAATATTGTAAATTGAAAATTTTAAAAGAATATATTAAAATTTATACGATACTGTTGCAGAAAAATGTGTCGCGCATTGCTTTATTATTTAATATTGAACATCAGTTCGTTAAATAAAATTCGCTTCTTATGAACACTGAAAGTTGTATCTCCCGCCAAGTTCAAGATTGAATGTTGGCTACATTTCACTACCAGTTTACGTCATCCACCACGTGATAGGCAACCACCGTATTGACCTATAACCATCGACTTAGGAAATAGCAGTGCGCATGCGGACAGTAACGTGCGATTTGCCACTCGGCACACGTGCGTTCGGTCATCTCTAATAAATCCGAAGTGTTATCGCGCGGTTAGTTAGCGCAGTTCAATCCGTAGAAAGTTTGAAGTAGAAAGAGGATAACATACAACGGAGGAACAAAGAGCACTGCAGATTATAGTAAATCTAGAAGATCGGTACCGGTGAGTTTCCCGGAATAAAGTAGAATTAATTCTTGGGCGGGGCTGACGAGACTGCTGTAATCTAAAGATGGTAGCCCTGCAGCCGGCCACGTGTATAATTACTTTTATTATTATTTGCTTGAATTTAACATAGTTCCTCAGCTGCATATTGTGAAGTCCCATGTAATTCAGAATGGAAATGACATTTTGTATCGTTAAAGCTCTTGAAATTTTGCTTCTGCAGCTTCAGGAGTTAGCTGCATCGTCACGCGCTCTTTGGTTATAACCATACCATATACGAGATCGGCTGTAGGAAAGACACGCACGACATATTACCCCACTCTTACGCACACAACAAATTATCTGGGAATAGTCACATTCTATCTTTACATATTTATTTTTAGATAGGGTCTTCATATTCATAGTTATTTTACAAAATGTATATTGCTGTAGAAAATATTATTTTATGGAGTGTTGCATTGCTGCTGTCGTCATTATATATTTTTAATTATTATTAAACTTTTATCATTTGCATCAAAGTGAATACTGACAAAAACACTTATTGTCACCTGATATGCCGATTGTCACAGTTGTATTCAATTTAAAAATTTCTTTGTTGCCTTTGACTTTGCTTCTTAGCTCTTGACCTAACCCCTTTTTCTGTTGTTTACTTCAGACAAATTTCTATTAACCCTAGGTCCATCTATCCTTAGCATCAAGTATTCTATATATTAGCATTCACACTGTACTTTTATAAGAACGTGACAACACAATTTGGATATCTTCTAAGCTATTTCAATGTCAAATTCTGTTTCTTTTGTTTCAATTCTCAAACCATTATAGTGGTATGTCAGTTAGTTTAGTAGTTGTACAATGCACTAAAACACATTTCTTTTCCGTGAAATCTTATACAAATTACAAATAACAGTTTTGAGTAATATTTGCAAGTTGCTATCATTTATGCATTTTGAAATGAATTTATTTAATAGTGTGCTATTAACAAAAATTCGATCAACACATATTTAAGACTTTGCTACATTATCCTTAAAATTTGAAACACTAGTCTATAATTTTTAAGTTTTCTGAGACAAGAGAACTTTATAGCCTATCCATCATCAGTGAAAAGCATATATAACTTACCCAATGTGTAAAATGACAAACAGCATATTCGTAGATATGCTTGTATGATTATTAAATTTCATTCTTGGTAATGATATTGAGCACAATAAAAAGTCTCACTAATACACTTACAATCTTTAATCTGCAAATATATGTACTGTGTATCTGCAATCTTAATTTTCTACAGATTAATTAAAACATCTAAGTTAATATGGTTTCATCAACGGTGACTGAAAATGGAAGCACAACACCTGAAGTCAAGTCATCTTCTGCAGTGGAATTTCCACCTGGAGACTATAGACTTGTTGGCTGGGATATGGATGCTACAGGCCGAAAACTCATTGATGAAATTTGTCAAATCGCAGGATATACACCAAGTTCCACTTATGCCCAATATGTAATGCCTTTCAAAAACCTAAACCCACCTGCTAGAAAAAGGCACAACATGAAAGTTGTGACTATTGGAAAATATCGTATGCTCAAGGATAGTAAGACTAATAAGGTGAGACTAATATAGTGATCTTGCCTACTAAATCTGTATAAAAATTAATTCTACAAACAATAATTGTATTTAAACTTCTATTAGATATTAAAGACCAAAAGTGAAATATCAGCGCTAACAGATTTCTTAACGTGGTTGGAGTCTGTCAAGGGGGATGCCACAGATGGTGTTATACTAGTATACCATGAGGCGCGCAAAGTTATTCCAGCAATGTTGCTCGAATCCCTAAAAAGATATGGTCTTCTCGATAGGTTTAAGCAAACCGTTAAAGGATTTGCTAATGGGTTCAACATTGCGGAAGTTAAATGTGCAAATATTGTTCGCACATTTTCTTTACGCACTTTGTCACGCGTAATGCTTGATAAGGTCAGTAATAACTATTATGCTGTTTTTCAATTCTTTTTGTCGCAATACGCAATAACTGCACTATTTTTCGAAAGGAGGAGGAGCTGGACAATGCAGTAGACAGAGCACGACTAGCTCTACAAATTGTCCAACATTTAAGCGTGGGTGAAGAAAACGGGAAAAATGCAGAAGGAAGCGGCAGTGGAGATAGCGATGCCGCCACGAAGGGAACCGTCGAGCTTATTAGGGAATTCGTGCAACCGACTTATGCCGAAGAGAAGGAACTTGCAGGTATTTCATAGTACAGTCTTTATTCGCGATATTATTACATAACTGCAACAAGTATGTCAATTTTCAGAACTGAAATTAGTATTGGAACGGCAAAATAGCTTGAAACCAATTTTCGGTGCATTGTTACGTGTGAGTCGTCGAGAACGTCAGCATGCTAGTCCTTTGCGCCGATTGCTTGCAGAAGCTGGTGTAGAATACGCAGTATTGCAGGTCGGTTTTTTCATTATTAATACATTTTTGGGACATTACTCTGACTCAAGAGGAACAGCAAATACAAATGTTTAATCGTTGTAGGAAGCATGGTCCACGGGTCAAAAGGAAGGTTTAGAGAAATTAATAAAAGAAAAAGTAACCGCAGCTGAGACTAATCAACTAGAAGATCTATTAGACGTATTAGAATGTCACTTTGATCCTCTAAAGAAACCAAAAGCTAGGCCGGAGCAAGATAAGGAGTCAATTAAAAAAGTTGTAGCGAAGACTGAAGTTGTTAAGGAGAACAATAAGAATGATTCGGGTACCGAAAGTCCGGACACAACTACATCCCATTCACCTCTGAAAGAAAATACGGAGCCTTCTCAAAACGCAAAAGTTACTGCTGAGATTAAATGAAAATCCAAAACCTTGATGCCAGTGCCTTATCTAATTTCAAAGTAGATTGAGCTCGTTTATTCGAAAACTTCCTACATTGGTACTCGATAAAAGAAACAAAAAAGTATAAACGTTGCCTGTTACAATTTTTATTTAGATTTCGTGATATTCGGTTGGGTAGTCAATCCTGGAGATTGGCCCGTCCGATTCCATTCAGAGAAATGTATTAATATCATATATTATTTACTTTAGTTTATTATGCAATTGAAAAATATTCTTGTTTAATATCTACTGAGTTTATGTTTATTAATTTTTTATTAATTAGTTTTCTATTTTATATTAATAAGATTGTTTTTTTTTTAGTCGATCGTACTGGGAGTCTGGTCGATTAACAAATTATATTCCCAGCCTCTTTCTTTATATTTCGCTTGTACGCGTTACTTTTCATGTTTTGTTACTTGGTCGCGTATTCTCACTGAACAATCTAACACTCGTTATTTTCTGTTTATCGAACCAAACCGCTAGCTGAACATTCCCATGTGAATGGCTAAACATAAGTGCATGGTATGTACGCGTTTAAAATACTATGCATTCATATAACCAATGGTTCATAAAGCAATGAAGGCATTTATTTAATACTGTTACATGATTGATCCCCTCGTACTCATGAGCTAAAAGTACTCGCGTACTAGATATGTTCGGATCTCATTGTATTATTAATATAATAAAAGATGTTAATAAATATATAATTTCGCAATTACGTATGACTCAATAATCACAGTTGCACACCAAAAAATCTTCCCCAAAATATCGAAGACTACAATTTATTCTATCGACAAAAGGTGATGCGTCCCATAACGAAGATCGATGATCTTACGAAGGAAGTCTTGAATCAACCTGGAACTCTCAATTTCCAAGTGATTCATCTTCCTGATTTCTGGTATATTTAGATGAACAAACACGCTGAAAAAGGGACGCCAAAATTTCCCATCCTGTATTCGGCAGAGTTGGGCTGATTTCGTACAGAAAACCAGTGAAGCGATCATATGCATTGTGCGCCGCTTTATGTGGCTACCTTCGTCGGGGCGGAGTAGGCAAAGTTTTTGGATAGTAATGAACACCGGAAGAAGACTACCTCCAACCGCAACAACGGCTGGATAGCGAAAATCGTTGACTCCGCATCCATTGTACCATTCAAGGAAGACGGTTATTACGTACGTCCGTACAGAAACGCAGTGATGAAGAAAAAGCTCGTCAAGTCTATGGACTAACAATGCCCGATCACGTTTTCCTTACTTATTATCGAGGACTGTATTTTCAGGCTTTAATGCTATTTTTTTTTCAAAAGACTGCAGGAAGGATACTTTACTATTTTTGTATAAATCTCTAGTAAATCTATAATTTACATTGCGTGTCAGCCTGTCAAAATTAGAACGTTTTTTGCTTCCCATACGAATTGTCAGCTTCTCTATAGTTTGCTTTATGCCTCGACAAATCACATAATTGCATTCATCCTGTTATTTATTCTACTAGATTGACGGATAATTTATATTAGGCAAGATATCACACCAAACATGTATATAATTACACTGGTGTATGGTTCTACCGGAAATTAATAATTTTCTTTTGTGCACAACGTATAAAATTTATCTCCCTCACAGTCGGGAAAGTTCTTTTCATTCGATTAATTTCGAATATCTGAAAATGTCTCGATGATAATTAATTAAGGAGTATGCAATGCCATTTTCGATTATCAACCACTCTCGTCACAATCGTTATGTCTTTTTAACAGGATTTAAAAATCACTATATCCTAAGCAACTATAGATATACATAGTGTATATTAACTCTGAGTGCTATGAGGACATACATATGTATATATATCCGGTAAGCGTTTCAATTTGAAGAGCTTCGCACTCAAAGGGTTAAATATCAATAATTGATGCATTTTAAGGTTAGGCTTACTTACGTCAACTAAATTGTAAAAAGAAGTAATAGTGATAATAAAATCTTATGAAAAGTTTTATAACCATAAATGCTTAATGTGAATTTACAAGACTCCATCAATCACTGGATCAACAAAAAAAAGGAAGATATTCTACACCAACATATGTCGCACATTAATTAGTTTCATACCTGCTACCCGCAGGGTACGTGCATTATCTGTCGGTTCTCGAGCATTAAATCACGAACGTCCCTCTGACGCCATTCCGATCAATTCTATTGGCAAACTGTCAATTTTTGAATTCATTGTACCGAAAATTTCTAATGTTGTAAACTTTTCCTCAATTGATACTAACTGAATCCAAACCGCTTTCACATTAGAGTGTCAATTACAAAAGATACTGATTTACTGTTAAACTTCCTCTCCAAGACATAACACTACTAACATAGCGAGGATCGTATGCAATATAGGAGGCATACAGATTTGCCTCAAGATACAATTATATGACGCATGGGCCACATGAAAACACCATTACCCTCGCGAATTTAATTTGAATATATACTGTGGACAGGCATCACATACTAACTATCGTGAAACATTCGTTCACGGTGAAGCATCCTTTATTGACCCGTTTTTATGCATCATTTGTTTTTTTCACCCATTTATTACTTATAAGTACTACCTTATTTATTCTGATGACTCTTCAAACATTTTGCAGGAAATGTAAGCCACTGTGAGCAGTCGATGGTAGTTTGACAAAATTAATTCTATGCATCTGGGCATGTGCAATGCATACTTGACGGTGTTGAAAGGAACATTCATGAATTGACATGCCCGAGTCAAAAGCAATTTGCAGTTCACGTTCAAAGTCCAGCACTGAAAACGTTCTCCTTAGAGTTCCAGTAAAGTCTTTGTGAATGCGTTAGATTTATAAATTACGCTTCCTTATTGCGGATGCACGTCCGTAAGAACCCGTACCGAGAATAGCGACAGTGTGACATCTCGCGGTCGACTGCAAAAGATCGTTTCGAAGAGCGATGTTTCGGGGAAATGATGGTCGAAAAAATAACGATTCGAGAATATGACTTTTCGATAATGTCAAGATTCGGCAATGTAGTGATTTGGTTAAATATCGTTTGGCTGAATATACATATGACAAAATGATTATTCGGATCAGATGATATGGACCTACTCCCTATAGTAGGAGAAGCTGCTAGCTCTGCTATAAAGACGAGTGGAGATCGCGTGTGAAAGAGTTTCGATTCAACCGGCGACTGGACTCGTCGGCCGTTGCGACAGTCTCACTTGCCCATCGAGAACATTAATTTCTACGCAAAAATACAAACAGTGTTATAACGTTGAAATCTAATTGATCTATGTATTGTTCAGAGTATCAATTTTCTATTTTACAACCACAAATTGCGTGAAGAATGAGTCTACTTGCGTGTCACGAAAGGTAAGTTTCTTTGTAGAAAAGACATGAAAGTACTCAACAATTACAAAGAAAATAGATTCTTTGTGCTAATAGTTTATCGAGATACACTCAAATTTCTCCTACCATGACTATTGCACCTGTGTAACATTCTTTAGATAAGATTAATAACCCTGCAGTATAGTTACCTATTCTGAACTGACTAACGGTATTTGGAACGAGGTAAATAGCATGCAGTTTATCATAAAATTGTATCAGAAATCGGTACCCAATTCTAGTAAAAAGCCACTTTGGCCAACTCTGTGTTGCTCTTTAAAAATCATATAGAAGACCGTCTTACGTTTTTGGTGTATTATCATCCATGATAACTTTTTTTTTAATCAAGGCGGCCGTTATCGTTCTTTTACGTGTTATGCCGTGGCGATCTCAATACAACATACAAGATTCCATCACTATGACTTCACGAACGGATTTTGTTAATTAAAGAACCAGTGTAGAATAGACAATCATATTTTATTCTCTAGAGAACCTTTTCTTATGTTATGTTATGTTTTTTAAATAAGGTAAACTTAGTCTAACGGGAACGAGGAAGTTTTGACAGGAAGAGAGAGTTTTTTGTGTAATTGGAAAATTCCTATTTTAAAAATGCAGGAAACAAGAGATTGTATGTTTTTAGGATTAAGGATAGTTTTATAATAGGAAAAAGTAGGAAATTTCCAGGGTAAAGGTTCCTTAATGGCTATATTATAATAGAGGGGCATAACAGTGTTACTTCAATTCCACATTATATCTCACTGGACTGAAGTAGAAAGGATTCAAGAGACGCTTTTACGTCATAACTCTTAAGAACCTGATCCTAGAAAATCATACTGATCTCAACTAATCTATACATAACCATTGCCTAAATTCTTTGCTCGTTCATTTACATATTATAATAAAGGATAAACTTACTTAACAGCAATTGTCTTGATTCTGTAATCATTCATTCGAAACGTCACTATTGCTATTTACAATACGTCCTATGGCATCCGGTTTTTCTAACTCATTGTCAGCTGATGTTGTTGCCTCTCCTATTATACCACAAAGTACACTGTCAGTCTCTTTTACTATGATTTCTATACAACGAACACATACTATTAAACAAATTAACGAAGCCATCGCTCTGTAGTGCTTAATTAAATTCTAGTAACACGCTTCAATAGATTTACTTTCAGAAATGTTAAGACATTACGTAGAATTTTTGCTGCGTTACGTAAAATCAAATCCTATGGAACGATATGTTTACTGTATAACAAATGAAATTATATTTTGAATAATATATTTGCATTTAAAGATAAACTATTAATGTAGCACTTTCTACTATCCGTTATTACGCAATGAATAAATATTTTTAATCCGGTGTGCTGCTTAAGGAGATAGAGTCTAATTAAATAAATTTATTATTTTCACATTAATCAACGTTTTATCCGTTGCAGTGGACCAAAAAATACCGTCGAATTCACTATCAATGGAGTACCATATACAGGTATGTGATTAGTGCTCGTTTAGCATAAAATTATACTGGTTTAACGAAGACGTGATACACGCACACGTATAGTACCTACCTCGTTAATGTATGTAGCAGTCAAAGGTTATGTTATATAAATCGTGATCTCATTATTCATATTGGTTTAAGAATATAAGGAGTTTCTTCTTTCTTAAATATAGTTCTTAACGTTGTTACGTTATTTGATGATCCTCGTTATATGCATGAAGTAGTTCCTTGGCTATTATACTGATAAAACAAATTATAGATATACGTCTAATGAGAACTTGTTGACATGCAACAGTATATACGTTATTAATTGTGTAAAAATCAAAACCATCCTACCGCGTTCTATGAGGCTTTGAAATTTGAACAGAAATGTAATTTATGTAATAGTTTTGAAAAATTTTGTTATTGCTTTTTTTCAGTTTCCAAAGATATTACCCCGGGAACATCTCTAAATTTATTCATACGGGACTATGCAAATCTCAGGGGTACGAAATTCATGTGCCTCGAAGGAGGATGCGGCGCGTGCATTGTTTCAGCTGAAATAAATGGAGAAGAATTGGCGGTGAATTCGTGCTTGGTACCAATTCTTATTTGCAATGGGTAAAGTAATTTTCTTTTTGCGAGGACAAATATGAACAATGCATATACGACTAATTCGATTATTTGTTTGTTTGTTTAACGCGCGTAGGTGGAAAATTAAAACTGTTGAAGGGATCGGTAATAAAAAAGATGGTTATCATCCAATTCAAGCTAAGTTGGCACACATGAATGGTTCACAATGCGGATTTTGTTCCCCAGGAATGGTTATGAACATGTACAGGTATGTTTCATGCAAACTTATGTTATGGACTAATAAGCTGTACATTAAATATTTCAATTAGAAAAATTAAAGTTAAAAATAATCTTAATCCGCTTGAAAAGTAACTTTCGATTGGATAAAAGTAATAATTATATTGAGGAATTGGATCAGTCTTTTGCAGAACAAAAAATTGACTATGAAGGAAATTGAAAATTCCTTTGGGGGCAACATTTGCCGTTGCACTGGTTACAGACCGATTTTGGATGCCTTTAAAACGTTTGCATCGGATGCAGATCCAAAATTGACACAAAAGATTCAGGATATTGAGGTAATCATATAATTGTTAAGTTTTTGGTTTGTCGTTGTTGTACATCAATTGTTGTTCTTTCAGGAATTATATAATATTCGAACTTGCCCGAAATCTGGAAAACCATGCGGTGGTAGTTGCGCAAAAACAGAAGATACAACAGATGTAAAAATACAATTGAAAAATGCCTTGTTCTATAAAGTACACTCGATTGAATCGTTGTTTGATATTTTTTCCAAGAATGCCAAAGCAACTTATGTTCTTAACGGAGGCAATACTTCTCATGGTAAGGCGAAAATATTTCAAAAGACTAAATAACGAATTAGACAAATTTGCAATCATTTGTAAAATTAGCCAATAAAGAAAAATGCTTCCTGCATGTCCAATTTGTAAATTGCGACTTACACATTATGTATTCTTTGATACAAACTCAGTCTTTTTATTTACTGTAGGTGTTTACCGGATGGATAAACCGGATATTTACATAGACGTAAACGACGTTCCTGATTTACGACGTATCGAGAAAAATGACAATTTCATGGTTCTCGGGGCGAACGTTACACTGACAGCAGCGATGGATGCTTTTAAGAAATATTCAAGCGAAAATGGGTTTGAATATTTGCGACATTTGGCTAAGCATATCGATTTAATTGCCTCTGTATCCGTGCGGAATGTCAGTAATATGTATATAAAAAATAATATATATAAAATATATTTTATAAGCCTGCAGAATAATATCAGAATACTCTTTTCAGATTGGTACTCTTGCTGGTAATTTAATGATAAAACACACGCATCACGAGTTCCCTTCAGATTTATTTCTAATTCTTGAAACAGTAGGAGCGCAATTACATATTCGTAAGTAATAACTCCAAACCACCTCTATACAAATAGCAAGAAATATAATCAAGACTTCTACTTATTTTTAGTCGAAGATCCTTCAAAAAAGACCAGCACGGCATTAATGGACTTTTTGCATTTAGATATGAAGCATAAAATTATTTACAGTATCTTACTTCCGTCATTAAGTAAGGACTATGAATTCCGATCGTATAAGGTATGTCTAAGTATAAACGATTATACACTAAGATGCTAAGTACAAACTAATTTCTTTATTACACCTACTATAATCATATGTCTTCTCATAACGTATAAGATAATGCCCAGAACTCAGAACGCCCATGCTCACGTAAACGCTGGTTTCCTCTTCAAATTGGATGGTACTGGAAAAGTGATGGAGAAGCCCAACATAATACTCGGCGGTATTAAGCATGATTTTGTAAGTATCAATTCTTTTCTTACTCCTAAATCAAGGCGTGAAACTTAAAAAAAAAAAAAAAGTAAATAAAATGTTTTCTTTGCAGTTGCACGCCTCGAATACGGAGAAATATCTTGTTGGAAAATCTGTTCTGGATAAAGAAGTTTTCAAAGGTGCTGTTGAGACGTTGCACTCTGAGTTAAATCCCGATCACGTACTTCCGGACTACTCAGCCGACTTTCGAAAAACTCTCGCCGAGGGTCTATTTTACAAGGTACGAAGAACTATTCTTTACCTACATCACGAGCCGTAAGCGATCTACAATCTTTTCCTTTGGCTGAAATAAAATTAGACTTTTAATATAAAATTTGTTCGCAGTTTGTACTTGGCATCAGACCGGAAAATGTGGACGTTAAATTACGCAGTGGTGGTGTCCTTCTTGAGCGTGAACTTTCATCAGGAAAACAAGATTTTGATACAGACAAAAATCTCTGGCCTTTGAATAAGCCAATGCCGAAAATCGAGTCCATATATCAAACTGCTGGAGAAGCTCACTACGTTAACGATCTGCCAGCACAACCCAATGAAGTTTTTTGTGCTTTCGTACTGACGGATGTTCCCAATGGGAAAATCGGAAGCATAGACGCGAAAGCAGCTCTGGTTCGTACTTTTCCAATTTTACTTTCCACTTCGGCTCACGGTGTGCTGCAGGCTCCAACCTATAAACTTGAAATCGAATACTACTCAGAGTCAATATACTGTTACAGTACTGTTACCTAAACTTTCTCTACTTATGTTCCCTAATTGCATTTCCAAACGTCTTTAATTGATACTTTACGCCTTGAGCCAAACTTTGTGCCAAATTACTAAGAAGAATTGAGAAATACGAGTCGAGCCTTTCGCTTGTTTCATTTCAAGTTGAATTCAGCATATTTTATTCTTGAGGAAGCATAACACAAACTATAACTATGTTTATGAAAATAAAATTATTTAAATAAAACGTTTTATTATATATCAAAATTGAATGCTTGTAACTTGAAATTTTCAGGAAAGCGATGGTGTAATCGCATTTTTTTCCGCCAAAGATATTCCTGGAAAGAACGCCTTCATTGTTGCGTCGATTAAGGAACCATATTTGGACGAAGATGAGCTGGTATGTCAAACGAGTGGTTCGCAGTTTTACGTTGACACCAATTATTTACACTGCGTATCTTTTCAGTTATTCGCAGAGGACGTTGTACAGTTCGCTGGACAGCCAGTCGGAGTAATTGTTGCGAAAACCCACGCGCTTGCTAACGAGGCAGTCAAGAAAGTGAAAGTAAATTACACGGAAACGTTAAAGAAAAAGGCAGTGGTAACGATAAAGGATGCTATCGCTTCCGATGAAAAAGGAAGAATTCTTGAGACAGCCAATGTTCCAGCTAAGAAAAAAGGTTTGATACCTTAATAATTACTTATTGACGATTACAGCATAGTAGTATGAATTACATGCGAATCATTTAGGTACTAATATCCAACACGTCATCAAGGGAGAATTTGAATGTTCTGGACAATATCACTACACTATGGAAACTCAGAGTTGCGTATGCATTCCGGTGGAAGATGGTATGGATGTTTATCCAGCTTCACAATGGATGGACCTTACACAGATGTCAATAGCAACTTGCCTTAACGTACAGGCCAATAGGTAAATGCTGATTCACAAGTATTTTATTGTCTTAAAGACTCCATAAAAAGTCACATAATAATTGAAAAGAAACATAATAAGAAATATCCTTGTTTATCTAAGCTAAAGTTAATATATAATTTTACTCGTAGCATCAATATTCAAGTGAGACGATTAGGCGGCGGATACGGCTCAAAAATTTCAAGAGCAACACAAGTCGCTTGCGCTTGTGCTCTAGTTTGTCACAAGTTAAATCGTCCAGCACGCTTCGTAATGTCGATTGAGAGTAACATGCAGGCAATCGGAAAACGATGTTCCACTCGGCAGGAATATGAAGTCGGTGTGGATGATAACGGAAAGATTCAGTACTTGAATTCGACACAGTGGAGCAACGCGGGTTCTTCGTTCAATGAACCTCTTGGGCCAGTCATTATACATCACTTTTATAGCTGTTATGACCCCACCACTTGGAGTTGTGTGGGCAACGAGGCTAAGACAGATTTACCGGCCAATACTTACTGCCGAGCACCGGGTAATTGGAAAACTTTTATAATGCTGCTTTATTCAAAGAGAAACACGGACATATAAACTATAATGAAATAAAGGATAAGATGCTCGAGGGGTTTTGAGGTTCTCTTCATTCATTAGGTTCTACTGAAGCTATAAGCATGGCGGAGAATATGATGGAGCACATAGCTAGAGCCGTTGGCAAGGATCCCGTGGAGGTCCGTTTGATCAACATGAATGAGAAGGATGGAACAGTGTTAAAACCATTGATAGAGGATTTAAAAAAGTCTTCCGATTTTGATGCGCGCAAAAGAGCTGTCGATACTTTCAATAAGGTAATTTTACTCTTAGCTCTTAATTATACGAGTATATTTGTTTTTGAATTTTATAAAAAGGAAAATCGCTGGAAGAAAAAAGGCATTTCTCTGATACCCATGAAGTATCCATTACTTTTCTGGGGAAATTTCAATGCACTTGTTTCCGTTTATGCACGCGATGGTACAGTATCTGTTACTCATGGCGGAATAGAATGCGGTCAAGGGATTCATACTAAGGTGACGTAAAGCGTTTTTAAGAACATGAAACTATGTATTGAGATTTATTATTTATTATGAACATGTATATGGAACTTAAGATAGCGCAACTCGCTGCTCATATACTGGGAATAGATGTGGAAATGGTATCGGTAAAACCTAGCAACAATTTAACGTCGCCAAACAATTCCGTAACTGGAGGCAGCATTACAAGTGAATCCTGTGCATACGTAAGACGTGTTGAATAACATCCCATTTGTATGTGCGTTAAAGGTCACATCTAAAACTGCTTTCTTTACTGCAGGCTACTATGAAAGCGTGTAAGGAAATTCTGAAGAGGCTAGAACCCATTAGAAAAGAAATGAATAATCCAACTTGGAAAGAGCTGGTCTTGGCAGCACATTTGAAAGATGTTGATTTGTGCAGCCGCTTCATGTACGTCTCTATTGCATATCTGCGAAGTTTCATTTCCTTTTAATACATTAACGGAACATTGAAAATCAATATCTAAACATACCACCTTTACATTAACACAAGTAGCATTGATCTTAAGAAGGATTTTGACCCTGCAGGTTCTCCGTTACAGACGAAGTGAAACCTTATTCTATTTATGGAGTGACTGTTGCCGAGGTGGAGGTCGACATGTTGACTGGACAGCATATTTTACAAAGAGTTGATTTACTTGAGGATGCAGGTATCAGTATGAATCCAGAAATCGACCTTGGTCAAGTGGAAGGAGCATTTATTATGGGAGTTGGGTACTGGACCTCGGAGGAATTGATTTATAACCCTGAAACCGCAGTTCTCACAAATTACAGAACTTGGGTACGTACAACCGAGGCATTTTCTTACATACTATATCCTACATATGAATGTACTGTACATGATAGTTTCTTCTCAGAATTACAAACCACCCGGTGCCAAGGACATTCCTGTAGATTTTCGAGTTAGCTTTCGTAGAAACGCTCCGAATCTAATAGGCATACTTCGATCCAAAGGTACTTATATTTAGAATTATTTAATTTGTATTTATTAATAGTAATATACTTTTTATATAATATCTTATTTAAAAAATGTGCAGCAACCGGCGAACCTCCTCTGTGTATGAGCTGCTCCGTTCTGTTTGCAATTCGCGCAGCTTTGAATTCAGCTAGAGCTGACGCTGGTAATACAGATGCCTGGTATAACTTACGTAAGTTAATGCACCCAATATTATCGATATGTTATGAACAAATTTTGCATTAATATCGTTTCAATTGCCGTAGATGGACCAGCCACCACTGAGAAAATTCTTATGAATAGTCTTACAAGTATAGACAAAATGGTATTTTGAAGACTGTTCTTCTTATATAAAATGTCAAATACGAATGATGCATAGTTCGAATAGCATAATACAATTATATTTAGATATCGAAGCAGTTCCACCGAAATTGCAAAGGGTAACAATGTTTTATATTATTAATGCACTGACGGGTAAAGGTGCTGGTAATAAGTCCAGTGATTACATAATGCAAAACAATAAAAAGTGTTACACAAATCAGTTACGTCGCTTAAAGAGTATAATACGTAAATCCTCTACCTTAATATTAAAAGAGATTTGTATTGATCAAGGAAAGTTTCTATCAATCTACAGAAAAAAAGTTCGAAATATTAAATCCGAACGTAACGTAAATAATGTATTGTACTTATTATAAATATGCGTGATTATTGCTTATTTAATTCTATTAAAACTATGTATGATCGTAAGCTTAGTTTGTATACCTACACATCATCTGATATATAGTATATGGCACAAGTCTTTTACTTCTTTTTGAAATATACCAGGCGATGGATAAAAAACGCTGTGTTCTGAATTATAGTATACAAAAAAATTGAACTTTGGAAAGAAGAACATTTTCAGTATATTGGTCCATCTAACAAATATAACTTTTGAGCAACTGGTTGCATGAGTTACACATGCTTCAAAAAAAAAAGTATTTAGAAACGATATTAGTAAAAAATACATTTATCGATAAAGGATTTTTATAGGGTTGAAAGTAAAAGTTGAAATTATTCAATGTAATACTGTGGTGTGGTAAATGAAATGATTGGCAATGTATCAGATCTTTTTTAAATCAAACTAGCCTTCGACAGCCATTTTTCCGCCCAGTAAATATGGCCGTCTAAGCAACAAGAATTTTTCTATTATTTTTACCTGGAGTACATATTGTCATTCTAGAAAAAGTGAATTAAGTATAATTTAATGCGCTTACAAAAGCGTTGAATAACCCACTCCCAATACCAGTATGCCCTACATTACTTATGTCGTCATGGGGTAAAATTAATTTGACGACGTTTCATGGCGTGTGACATATAACCTAACGTTTTATCCTCCGAGCTTCTTATGAACAAACTCTTTATATTAATTATCTATATGTGCAATTCGAAGAAACAATCACTGTTTATTAATATCTGAGATATCATGTTTCTTGTGAAGTGATACGCGTGCCTAGAGTATTTATACGACCGCCTTTTTATTATTATTTACTAATCTCATGCCTACATGTAGTTCGAGAATACAATATAGTTTCGTATAAAAACATTTATAAATAATGTCCGCAGATTATAAATACGCTATAATTAATCCTTCATTCAATTAATCGATGACACGTTCGTTTTGACACACAACTTAATGTGATGTTGATTCTTTATAAAACCATTCCTTATTGTAAAGAATAATTATTACCACTTTTGGGACTAATTGAAGTTTACTTGAGAACAAGAATTATGCAAAATTGAGCTGAAGGTATTTGATAGCTAAGTGTATAAAATTATGTACTTAGTCATATTATACATTACTGTAATACAGAGTATAGCATGGGTGTATCGCTAATTGATTGTGTTTCATGTATTACATACTACGCACAGTTTCAGTGTACCCACATGCATCGATCCCTTTAACTCTAAATCCTTTATGATATTGATAACTATGCTGAATGTAATATATTGCAGTGCAAGTGTAAGTTGGTGAGGTATAGTGCATTTTACTAAATGTATCTCATTGTGCACAGTGAGTGTGTTAAATAGTTACGGAAGATATTTACCTTTTTAATTTTTATCCTTTGATTTTAAAGTTTATACAGAGTTACGTGCCACACCAAATTACATTAAAAGCTTAGACACTTTTAATCAAAGTGCCATGTAACAAAGAGCTTTTAATTGTAACTACCTTTGTTTAAGTGTTGAAAACTATGCTGAAGTATTTTAGTGTTTATAGAAAAATTCAACACTTTTCTTAGTTTACCAGCTTTTTGTTTGTGATATTACAACGCAATGGATGAAAGGCGTGTTGCTGATTACTTTGTCGTTGCGGGCCTACCAGGCCAGGATGATGACAATTGTGCCCAAGAAGATGATGTATACGATAATTTGGAGGACTGGTATCAAGAAGGAACACATCTTAAGGATATGCATATGGAAGCTCCAATTACAGATTTGGCAGTTATTTTTCCAGCCCTTGGGGAGCAGTGCCCCGAGGGCTATACACTATTGGCATACACGGTATCAGGCATTCCTGCTGACTTAAATCATGGAAGTTTAAGAACTAACGAATGTTACTTATGCTATAGAAGAGGACGAGATAAACCACCCTTAGTCGATATAGGTGAGAAATTAATTGTATTATATTTTTAATAGCGTTATTTATTTTTTCATGACTTTTCTTCAGGTGTTATATATGATGGAAAAGAACGCATAATGCAAGATGCAGAAATGGTAATAGAGACTCCTAACGGATATGTTGCAAATGTAAACAATTCTACGTCGAGAATTTTTGTAACATACAGACGTGCAAGTCCAAAAATGCCTTGCAATTCCCTCGTTGTCACAGACATTTGTGTTATCTTAACAAACAAGGGAGAAAGTGCTCCGCATGCATTCTGTGTCATATCAAAAAATTTAAACAAAGGCATGCTAGGATCCGACGTATTCCTATGTTATAAAAAGTCCATGAATCGTGCCAATCTCATATCGTTCAAGCCAGCAATATTATACAAGTATCCTACCACCGATTACGATAGCTTTGCTTTCCCACACTCGGTAGCTATGTTCTGTTTACCAATGGGTGCAACTATCGAGTGTTGGCCAAAAGTGGCCTGCAAACCAAAACCTGTCTTCTCAACGTTTGTCCTAACAGTCGCGGACGCAGCGCAAAAGATATACGGCTCTGCCATTACTTTTTACGAAGAAGTTACGCCCGAGTCGAACATTCCTATTTCTAAAGAGAATCTTGATATAATTGAACGAACAGAAGAGAATTCGAAGGAAGGTAATGTGAAAATATTAATTTAGCTTCATTAATAACGTTACTATGAAGATACCATAAACGTTAAACTTTTCAGACAAGAATACTATCATCTCAGAAAATAATCTTCAAGAAAAGCCGAGATCTGTAAAGAAATTTGGTATACTAAGTAAGCTCAATCAGACGCAACTGGAAAAATTGCAGTACACGGATCCAACCGAACAATCATTGAATATAAGCAAGTCCATATGCATATTATCACATTGGCCATTTTTTGATACATTTGAGAAGTTTCTGGGTTTTCTCCATAACATGGTTAATGAGAGGCAGCAAAATGTTCCTATAGAAAAGTATATATCGTACTTTCTTTGCGACATACCGTTTCCCAGCCCACAGAGACCAAGAATCCTTGTACAACTCAGTACACATGACAGATTAATTCTAACACAACCGGAAGATCTGGCACTGCCAAGATCGGGTGCAAGTTTTCGGCAACTGCTAATTAATCTCGGCCCAGATAATTGCATGTTGATTTTATTGTTAATACTGACGGAACAAAAAATTCTTGTGCACTCGTTAAGACCAGACGTGCTTACTTCAGTAAGCGAAGCAATTGCTATGATACTATTTCCATTTAAGTGGCAATGCCCATACATACCATTGTGTCCGTTGGGTTTAGCAGAGGTACGTTTTGTTAGAGTTTCATATAAACATTTTCCATTCTATCATAGACGTTTAACATTCAACTTTTATACTATCAGGTTTTGCACGCTCCATTACCTTTCCTGATTGGTGTCGATTCAAGATTCTTTGATTTGTACGATCCTCCATCCGATGTAAACTGTGTCAATTTGGATACCAACAATATAGCGATTTGTGACGATAAAAAGCATTTAAATGTTAAATTGCTGCCTAAGAAAGCAGCCCGAATGTTGAAAAATAAACTCGAGGAGCTTCACATGAAGTTGATCTCCTTGGGAAAGACGTACTCATCCCAAAAAGGTTAGTTTTTTAAACTTTGCTTCATCCAACCGTAGTAGTGGTGCTAATATTAAACTTTTCTTTTAGAACGAGGCGATGAGGACTTCAGCGTGGATAAAGAGTTTCAGCAAAAACGAAAGGAACAAGCTCTGGAACTAGAAATACAAGATGCTTTTCTTCGATTCACTGCGCTTATATTAAAAGGATACCGTACATATTTGTTACCCATTACAAAGGCACCCACTGTGGGATCCACCGATCCAACGAGTTTATTCAACATGCAAGCCTTTTTGAGAAGTCGTGATAAAGCTCACGCCAAATTTTACAGTATGCTTGTGAGAACACAAATGTTCATTAGGTATTTATTTTCTATTTACAGCAATTATTTCTTACGTACTCTGAATATTTCTTAATCTCTCCTATTACTATAAAAATTGAAACGCGTAGATTCATCGAGGAACGAAGTTTTGTCTCGGACATGGACATGGCAGGATTAGCCTTTTTCGACGAATGTACTGAACGAGTTGAAGAAGAAAACGGTATTGATATATTGTGCTCACGATAAACATCAATCATTATTAATAACCCACTTGTAAAGTCTGTCAACGTTACATATGATTGACCTGACTAAAAAGATCAATGATTCAGTCGATACCTTTGCAAGGACGAATGACACCATAGTATATAGTTAAAGAATTTCTAACTCGTTTATTATATTGTTTCTAGTAACGTTATTGGAATTGGATGAATCACAACACAGTGAACGCACTGTATTCATCCCGCCTCCTGAGGCAGGACCAAATCAGCCGCCATTGATATACAAATCGTTTAGGTTGAACCCCAATCTCATGAGACCCCAAAAGACTCTAAGTTTAAAGAATCCAGCCTTGAGTGCCTTTGGTATGGTGCCTGGAAGTCCTATGGCACGCAGGACAAAGCATGAAATTAAAGTTGCCCAAAGAATGGCTCGAAAGCAGGCAAGATACGCGTCCATTATATAAATACATTTTTGTAAATATATTCTACAATTAAACTATTTCATTACAGGCGGCGATGCCAGACAGATGGGGTAGATGTTTATTTTCCACCTGTTATAGTCTTTGGTTTTTACATTTACCAGCTATGCTGCAAGTATCCAATCAGGCCGCCGCAATTTTACATCAGGCATACGAGGTTCTTGTAAAATTACAGAAACTGGGTCTGGATCCGATGGAAGAAGTATGAATACTTGTGTGGATAAAAACAACAAAAAATATATAATTCGATCCCATTTTATAATATGCGTTGTGGTTTTAACAACCATCGTTTCAGGTCTGCTACAGAGCAATGATGCAACTTTGCGGTGTTTATTCGCAACCCGTGTTAGCCGTTAAATTACTTTTCCATATGAAGCGCAGTGGTGTTCAACCTAACGCGTTAACATATGGGTTTTATAATAAGGTACATTCCCTGCCGTTAAATAATTTAAAGAATAATCACTATGTCAAGTGTAATCGTCTACAATAACTGTGATCGATTTATTTAGGCTGTCTTGGAGGCAACATGGCCCTCAGACATGACAAACTCGAGTCAATTAATGTGGAACAAATTACGAAACGTAATCTTGGGCGCCGCATTATTTAAGAAGGCAGGGAAAAGGAGTGCCAGAAGAAGACTCTGTTCCAATGCCGATCTTCTGAGCAGCGATGGAAAGGGTCAGGGTCTGGAACATGCTATATCGAGATCGAGCTTGGATAGCGCTCATTCACAAGACACAGAAGCAGCTCGCAGTGATTGTATATAATTTGTTTTCCTTACGCTAGATGCATCATTCAATACAACAATAACTAATATCAATAAACTTTCTCTTATTTTACCAGCGTTGAAAGGCAGCTCTGTCCCTGACTTACCCGCGTTTGGATTAGACGAAATGAAAAAGAAGTTTCTTCGACAAAATAGTATAGTGAAAGATCAAGGAGCTCTAAGTACATCAGAACCAGAAGCACTTGATCAATCTCCCCACAATAACCCACGGTATTAATATCATCCGTTCTTAGTTATTTGATTTCATTACTGCCAAACTATGTTAACAACGTTGTGAAAATTGCATGCAACCTTCCTAACAAGATATTCTAATTTAATTCGACAGGATGTCGCGCAACGTGGAATCGCCATTAAAAAGTCCTGTCCGTACCCCTGTAACAGAAAATGATCCGTTAGGAGCTTTAATCAATGATGACACTCCAGTTGTGTCGCCGTCTGAAGAGAATGACTCAAACTGCTCCACGAGTACCTTGACAGTCCTGAATAACACCATCGACGAGCGACCTGGTGGACCCCTTCTATTCAGAAGGTTGCCTTACTATTGATATTATTATAAGCTTTTTCTAATGTTAATTATATTTGCATGCTGCACAGAAACAGTACAAACATACGTATTGGTGCAGCTGCTTGCAAATCCTGAACATTTTATTTCCTTGCATCTCATTAGCAATGTGTTGCCGAGAAGTGCAACGTTTCACCAGGCGGTAGATGAAGCAGGTGCAACTGTTGGAAGTCACCTGCAGAGAAGCGAAACTATGCCTCATTCGGTTGCCCAACAAGGCGAACAAGAGAGGGATCGCGAAAGACTGGAAATCAGCAGCCTTTGGGCACAAAACAAAGACAGTGTCGCATCAAGCTTATCCAGTTTGGGATCCAGTCTCAAACTCAGCTTTGGGTAAGCAATTATAATATGTTTCTGTTATCGTTAAAGCATTTAACAAACCACCTGACACGTATGAGATTTGTGAGATTGTACAATGATGCATCGTTGCACGTAAAATATTGTTCCATTAATTTTTTTTTAACGATACTGGTTGAGTCTCATAATTTTTTATTCGCTAATAGAAATGCTTTATAGTTTAATATTGCCTCATCCAATCTAGTGTTATTTTTTATCAGAAGCTAGTCAGCGAGAATTACTTTCTGATTTTCCTTTATTTATTATTATTTGCATGTATGTTGAGTCTCTTTTTACATAACAATGTAGACGATATTCCACTGGCAAGCTGGCATTTGTTAAACATAAGGAATTACTATCGTCGAACCAACTTGAATCTCTTAGTCTCGTCTCCAATTACATCAGGTGCGTATGTGAGAATTTCAATTAAGACAAGAACAAAGACAACGTAATAGTATATAGCAATCAATGCAAATTCTGATAATTTGTCAAGTTTGTGTTTGCTATATCATCCATCTGCTTTCAGCCCCTCCAGCTTAACCGGAAAGAAATCTAATGAGCTAATTCTGGGCGGCTTGAACAGTTTGAAATCAGCAGCAACAACGGTAGTGAAGAAATTCGACGAGATAAAAGAAGCAATTTCTGCAACTAGCACACCGATAAAAATGAAAGAACGCGAACAAAGATTAGCATACGGAATTTCTCACGAATCGTTAGATTCACTCACAGACGGATCTCAGCAAGATCGCAACGAGGTGCCTGCCAGAATTTCTGGTAAGTATTGTAGAATGAATATGAAACCGTGATCATGTTCACAATCCGTTATGACTTCCTAACATGGCCGCCAACGCTATTACAGGTGATTTGAGTGTAGATCTGAGTTCGATATACGAACTCGCAGAGTGTCTATATCCAAAAGGTTCTCGAGAGCTGGAGGAACGCCTTGCCATAGAGTTGATCCTCTCTACAGCTAGTAGATGTCATCACTGCGCTGCTGTTTTATACGATGAGGAAATTATGGCTGGCTGGCAACCTGAGGATTCTAATCTGAACACAATTTGTCAGTTCTGTGATAAGGCCACCGTCCCACTTCTGACAGTAACGATACTGGACTACAGGTAAGATATTATAGAAGGCAATATAATAATAACAGTAGAACTAATGATATTTTGTTTATATTTTAATTAGATGCGAAAAAGGCAAACGAGTTAATGATCCTTTGACTGGAGCATTAATTCAGCTCTTAGAAGAACCAAAAGAAATGCCTGAACCCATTACGGTACCGTATCTTAATCCATTAGTACTCCGAAAAGAATTGGAAAATGTATTGAGTCAAGAAGGTGACTTATGTTTAACCAAACACAAGTTCATTGAAGAACATCCAATTGTCTACTGGAATCTTATTTGGTACTTTGAACGAATCAATCTGACCAGTCATCTCCCAGAGTTGTGGCTAAGCAATGACGACGATAAAGAAATCCAAAGTAATACAGGCCTGGTGGGAGTGAGAACAATGTGGGATAACGAGAGGTTACATATGGATCGGTTACCTATGTACATTCAATGGAAAGCTAATAATACAGAAGACAGAACATTGATGCAGTCAGTGATAACGCATGTGCGTCGCAACGATTTGGGGGAACCTATTAAAAAAGTGGCTTTGGAGAGAAGTAAACATCAAGTAGAGGAACAGGTTCCATTTTCTATTTACAGAGACATTCTCTTCTTGGCTTTTACAATACTTGGCAGAGGAAATATTGATCAGGGTACGCATACTGTTGTACAATGAAATTCATATTCTCTGCTCTCAATTCTCATCAAGATATTCTTACAATGTACTTTACTTTTTTAGGGATATTTGATAAAGAATATTATGCCGCGTTAGAAAAATTAACAGAGAACGAAGAGAACTTACTAAGGAGTACGGATGCTCCCCCAACAATGATGGCACTTTACTGTAGACATTACTTTAAGCAGTTAAACGTATAGAAATAATACAAACGATATTTTTTAAACGTCAATCGTTAGACATACTGTGAGCGATACGAATGTCCGTCTCGTAAATAATTGTTAAAAGGTATATCCGACAATTTTTGAAATTTACCTGTATGCTACCATCATAACCCTAGAACGATACACTGGGTGTCACACATATAACACTAAGTGTACCTTTAGTGATCAGATGCAGAAGTGTACCGTTGTAAAGTTAAAATCAGCATACAAGTAAGATCCGAAAGTCCTGATCAAGTAAAATTTCAGAAATACTGTTAAAATAATCGGTCGTTCAAGCGACTATCAATCATGAAACATCACATTCAGTTACGGTTTTTTTCGGATTTTTTGCTCTTTTTTTTAGTATTATTCAACAACAACAATTACTCCCCTCGTCCGTATAATTCTGTCCATTAGTAAGCACTACGTCACAATACATATATTACAGCCACAATGCTGTTGCATTACGAAGACTTAAAAGTAAAGACCTACGGTTCTATGAAATATTATGTTCTCCATCGTCATATATGTAATTGATTCCTCTTTTTTTTTGCAAATTAAATTCGATGGCCATGCACATTCAACTTCTAATCACTAATCAATTTTGCATAGTTGCGTCTAAGAGTACGATGTGGGAAAGCGCTAGGTACCAAAGAACGTGTAGACAGATTTAACGTCTAGTTCTTCTATTCCCTCCAGGTACATATTGTGACCATACGTACCGTTCAGCTTGATCAGTAATCTCATTAGCATGACACGTAATATTGTCACGTCGGTATTAAAGAGACTATCAATGAGGATATTAACTTTTCTATTTAAAAGATTGTCATTGTCTCTAGATGTCGTGTAGGACAATTGAAGTTGTGTTCCTTTTGACATGTGGTATTCTTTCCCTTATACTCTTAGATAGAACAACTATGCCTCTTATGACATGACCAACGTGGTAGGTATTCATTTTTATTATGTCCATAGCCTCAGGTTCTACGATCGGAAAGCATCTAATCTAAAAATGTGAAAACTTATATTCGGGCTGTGGAATATGAAAGTCGTTTCTAATCGTATGCCGTTTCCTTCACAATATCTAATTACTCGAGAACTACGGAGCATTACAAACACTATTATTTCTGTGTTTGGATTCCGATACCAGGTCCAAGGCAAAGTTATATATATATTATATAAGAATATAAAACATTTATTGAAAACGATATATGATCGAATGCCAAAGCAATTAAAGAATTTTCTTCTGTTCTTTCCGATCTTAAAACTCTTCACTTTGGATAGTGCAAACAGATGTATATTCATTCATTATTGTATCGAGGATATATATAAAGTAAGTAAATAAAAAAACAGTTGAGGTATTTTATAAAAATTGTATATTCATTTTTACGAATTCCGTTCATTGCGACTTGTCGTTAATTGTTGAGCGACGCTAGGTAATACAAAAATGTGGCGCGATTGCCAACGAATAAAAGATAGCTTATTTATGGACAAAGAGATAAAAACATCTAAAACGTCCAGAAGTTAAGGATCATAAGTAGTTGGATGTCTTCACAAAATCATGGTGTTGCTGCTACACATTGTGATTACTATTGGAATTGTATTAAGAATTAAATTTATTTTTTCGACCTTAAAATTAAAAATACAAAATTGTCCTAGGCTATATACAGCTGTAAAATAGCTTAATAACACTTTATTGTAAATTGTAACCAGAACTTCATTTAAATTACTGGGAACGTTCATCATTTGGGCCTAGAATTTTCGTATTTTAAATGCACCCTTTTCTTATACTCTCGTTCTCCCCTTCATTCATTAAGTAGGTATAAAAAATCTGATGATGTACAGGTGACAATGGCTAATATTAGATAAAATACATTTAACGGATTATTAATACTCCAACTGTAATAATGTTAATTAAAGACTTGCTGTAGAAAGAGAACACCGTTTTCGAATTAAAAACAAAAAGAACAAGAGTACTCATTCATTTTCACGTCATAACAATAGCCTTAATCTTCAATCAATATTTTATCACTTTCTAACCGTAAATAAAATTGTATCGGCAAAGACAGTTAATGCGAATCCTGGATATCATACGGTCCATTACGACTACGATTGTTCATTTCTATGTGATACATTCAAATCAGTATTTACACTATTATATAAAAATTCGAACATATATTTGCCTAAAAACGGAATAAAATATGACTTTATTCTATCATCAACGAAGTTCATTATAGAATTTTTGAATGCACTTTCGTGATACCCGCGCGCACGATTTCGTGTGAATAGCGCTTGTTGCATGTATCATTTGTAAGCAACACTGATCACTAATTCTATTCAGCATATAGTCTCTTACATTATTCTTTATCCATGTTAATTCCCCTGGTGATTCTAACGTAATTTCTTCAACACATTGAGACCATTTTCTTCATATTCCTCACGAGTGATCCAGAATGAGTCTCTATCCTTAGTGATCTCAGCTAGCACTGCACCTCCCATAAACACCATGTCCTTACGCCGTGGTGAGTCTTCAATTTTTATTTTGAATTTCTGCAATTAATCAGTAAAGCCCAAAGAATCTCAAATTATAATAAAGTTCGCACTCCACATTAGTCTAATAAATAAAAAATATATAGCGGCTCCCACTTACCCCTAACTTAGTCGTGTCGTTTTTAAGTACTCTCTGGAGATACAGCTGTTTTATTTCACGCTCTAATCGAGATGGAAGTCCAGGATACATTGTGCTACCGCCACTCAATACTATGTGCTTATACAATTCGCCTCTCATATCAATGTCAGCAGCCTGAATTGTACTGAATACTAATTCAGCTATTCCCTGCGCTTCTATATTAATTAAATGTGGCTGAAACAGTGCTTCTGGTGCAGCAAATCTTTCCCCACCAACTTTTATAACTCGGCCGTCAGGAAGCTGAGGATTATTTGCAACGATAAGCATAGATCATTGCATAAATTTATAAAACTACAAAATGCATATTCCTACTTACAGTATAGGACTCTACCAAAACGGTGGTCTCTCGTGCCAACTTCTCTTCCGTTTCAATATTATATCCTATGTAGCACAATTTTTCTTTAAGCATTCGCACAGTCTCGAAATCTGCTGAATGATTAAAGGCATAGCCACGTAGTAAAAGAAGCTTGATAAGATACATGGTAATATCACGGCCTGCGATATCCAATCTTCGTGTAAGATGCGTTAGAGCATACTCCCCATATACTGGACAGATGTGGGTTACACCATCGCCTGAGTCTACGACGACCCCGCTGATTAAACCTTGAGCGTACAGGGTAAGGACTGCCTGAATGGCTATATAAGTTCCAGCGAAACCATATTTCTCGAACATCACCTAATGTCATATCATACAATGATAATCACGTTATATAAAATAATGCATACAATTTCATAATGGTTATTGCATTCTTAAGTATTGCTTAAACGATTGTGGTCGTCACCTCGATCATTTTTTCTCGATTCGTTGTTGGATTCATTGGAGGTTCCGTAAGAAGAATTTTGCACTCTCTAGGTGTGATATTCATCTTTTCCTTTCCAAATGTATAGTCCCACACATGGCACATATCCTCCCAGTTCCTGGAAATTGCGACGAGAACATAATGAATTGTCTTTGATGAAAAATATATATTTAATTATTGTAAAACGTACCTAACGATTCCATTTTGCATTGGGTAACTAATTTCCAACATGGAACGAAGTTTACTCGCTTCATCCCCAACCATTAGATCCTATATTAACGATAAATAATTATGTTCATTACAGAAAACACAATGAAGCTACACATGGACTAAGGCACCCTTGTCGTTATAATTGATGAAAAATACTCAATCAACGATACATTCATCTAAACAAAAATAGTAAGTACCTTATTTTAAAAGTTTTTTAATTATTGTAAAAAATATATGTGCCGTGATAGTTGTTACAGGCCATCTGAATTTATAGGACTTATGATGTTATTGCTTTTTTTTTTGTAGTCTGTGTTAACTAAGCCTCATAGCCCTACATTCTTCACTGTGTCGATATTATTGCTTCAAATATCTTTTTAGGAAGAAAATTGATAGTTTAAATCCCATAACACTGATTATTAACTACACTGCTTTTCTGTGTGTTAATGGCAACGTAAATTGTTAACTATAAACATTTGAACCAAATAAAAGCACACTCTTTATTATTGTAACAGCTCTGATCTCCAATACATTTTTCTCATTATCATTTTACATAATAACTTGAGGAAGTTAGTTCACAATCGAAACATGGATTTCTAGTATAAATATATATTGAAAACATGTGCTGATTATGATTAATAATTAATGCGAATATTAATGACATGAAGAACAATAAACTTACAGGCATGTTAAGCACATCCTATGAGAGCAAATGTAAGCATACAAAAATATTAAGTAATATTATTAACTGGAAAAACAGACAGTCATATATGTACACCCAAGTGACAAATGCATGGATAAATATGTTGAAGTTATTTGCAATTTTTGAAAGACCAGAAAATAAAAATTATATGGTTTTAGTTAATTTCATTGAATTTGCAACTGCTTACAACATTGTTTAAATTTCATTGAGAAATTAGTAGGTCAAGCAGATTTCATTAATATATAAGTGCTGTGTAATTGTTACTTATGAAGTTATTATGACAAGAAGTATTATTTATCTATGAAATATTGAACTTTTCATTAGATATGAAGTATCTTAGTTCTAAATTCATGTCAATAATGAGATTTTGTAGTAATATTTATAATTATGATATTGCATGATTCCATCATTATACCAAATTGTAATTAATGAAACTGTTATAGAATTTAAAATGCACTAAACAAAATTTTCTTTAACCAATTTGTGTAATTTCTTTCTAACATAAAGAACTCAGTGGACATCACATAACAAATCAATAATGAAAAACGTTTTTTATTTTTGTATCAACATATAACAAAGCATTCCTGATTTAGTTTACTTAATCAGCATTTAGCACCATTGGCACACTTTAAATAATTTAATAAACTGACTTACACGAACATAAAGTTCTTGCTGAAAATTAAATTATAAAATTAAAAACTAAATAAACTGTAAATATAACTTAACTAATTAAAAATAAGTTACTCAATCAAAAAAGATTAATCATGAACATGGAGAACTTCATGCAGAAGCATCTGTAAGAGAAAAAAGGATTTGCACGGATGTCAATGAAAGTGAAAAGAGAAAAAGATGTTTGTCAGAGTTCTTCACATTCATAAAGAAAATTCAATGCAGTCAGTTCTTTCGAAGTAATGCAAGTATTTTTCAAACTCTAATAGATTATATGTAAGTTATACATGACTCCTGATTCTTTAATGCTTTTCATTCTCCACGTATTCATCACATAAAAGTATTTAAATGTCACTGCCTAAACTGAATCTTCCTAGTACTTAAGGTAACTGAATTTATTCTTAAATCATTTCCTTGATTACGAATAAAACAATAGATAAAATTAGCCTATAACTATCATTTTTAGTATATCAAGCAATATATAAAATACCTTCACATCGATGTCTCCAATCTTATTAACAGCTCTGATAATAGGTCTGCCAACAATTGATGGGAAAATATACTCTGGAAAGTTTGCTCCAGCATATCCACATTTGACAAACTGTGAGGATATAATTAATACCATACGTCAAATATTTACTAAGAAAGAATAGCAACAGAAAGTTTCAATGGGATGTGGTCAAGAAGATAAGCGCATAACCTCACCCCTGTTCCATTGTCACATACGATGACCTTCCGACCCTTGCTATCCATTTTTAAGCTGGGTACTTAAAAAATGTGACTTTTCTTCACAACCCTATCAGTATCACGTCACACACGATCTGACTAATTGCCTTCGTATTCTTATGAGTAAAAGGGCGTCACCGGTGTAAGTCTCCAATGTGAATGATTTTCCTTGACAGAAGACAAGTTACGTTCATTTGTGAGTTACATCAAATTACGTTATCAACACACAGGACAATTAAAACTGAAAAAAAGAGACTTTACAGGCAAGAAAGAAATTGGTCGATAAGTCAATGAAAGTGGCAACCCTCCCATAGATTTATTTAATCAGTCTGAATCTGTCAAGCACAGCGTACGGCTACCACCAGCGATGAGTGAAAATGAATAGGGAGATGCACAACGCTACGGTTTCAGGTGATACCAAAATCATGGCGCTTTATCGTAGCAGCGAGTCTGGAAGTAGGACTTTATGATCATCGCCTCCGTCGACAAAGCGAATACCGTCATAGCCGCGCTAAACGTGAACACGAAAGTGTAGACTCGCGGGCAGAGGTTCTCCGCTACTCACCGCTGGATCCCAAAGCAACCCTTAGAACGCGACCGGAAATTATAGAACTTCTCAAGAAATATTGAAAAAGAGTATTGTTGAAACATTTCTAAGACATTTAAAAAAAAGTGCAGTGCCAACATGACACCCGTGTAGCACCTCAATTTTTACTAAATATTATTGGATCTTGATTTACTTGAGGTTTTCCCCCCTAGTCCTGTGCGCGGCAACCGCGGGACTAGGGGGTTTTCCTCAATAAAAAAAAAAGACGGTCCCCTATGGGGCCTCGGAAGGGTCGTTGCTCCCTCGTGGAGAGGTAGGACCTCACGGAAATGGGCGGGGAAGGGCCCATTTTGCTCCCTTATATTTCCTGCTTTTTCTACTTTTTCCACTAAATCGTAAAT